AAATAAAATCGTAAATAATAAATAATTTAAATTAATAAGTATAGTAATAGTAATAAAATATATATTTAAGCATTTAACCACCTAATTATTGCGAAATGTGTCATAAAAATTATCCAATAGGCTATAATATTATGTTATATTATATAGCAAGGGTGGTCAACATGAATACGTCCAAGACCATGAGCCACATAGATAAATACAATGGTATATCAAGAGCCAAAACCTATTTCTAAAAAAATAGATAATAAAATTAAGACGTAAATGCAAAATTAATCGTGAGAGTTTATCATAAGTAACCTATACTTATCTAATCTATACCTAAGAGTTTTAAATACTAGAAAATACTGGGCATTAAAGATCATACTTATTTTTTAGATTATTTTGTAGCACTTAAGAGGACGTTTTACTCGTATGTGTTGTCTCCGGCCTCCACCTTACATTTGCGTAACATACCAAATTTTACGCTCAGATCACGTTTAGCTCCGTGAGTTTAAAATGTAAAGCGAATTGACCACTTATAAAATTTACAGGTGACATTATTATCGAAAGCTTCTCATAGGATTTTAATTTTAAAACGAGTTATGAGTATTTTAAGATATACAAACAATTTACATTTTTAATACTCATAACTCGCTTTAAAATTAAAATATAATAAAAATCCTATGAGAAGCTTTCGATAATAAAGTTACCTTTAATTTTTATAAGTGGTAAATTCGCTATAAACTTTAAACTCGCGGAGCTAAACGTGATCCACTGAGCGTAAAATTGTCTATGTTATTACGCCTTGTAAGACGTGACAACACATTCGGTATAACGTTCTCATAAGGAGTGTCCTGTACTCCTGTATAGACTGCGGAGATACAAACTTCTATGTTTCATGAAAGGTCTTCCCTTAATTACAAAAGTATGTAGGTAGAAGATAATTTTCAAAAAAATTATCCGCTATAAATGCTATAAATGCTAAAAACAAAAATTTATATAGACCTGTCTTAAACATATTTCAAAATTCTGAAAATCAGAATTTTAATAAATTTATTTTTTAATAAATTTATTATTAAATAAAAAAGAGGTGAACATTCTTGGCGAATCACCTTGTGAATAAAACTGAAATTCGATAAATGGTTAATACAACAGATTGTATTAACTGTTTATCATGCTAACATTAAGTATAGGTAAGTAACGATTAAATATTAAATAGGCATATGACTTTCTAAAATTTAAATACGTTTGTACTTGCACATTCCTGAAAATTACCAGTAATATAGTGTCATACGTAGTGATAGTTAACAATATTTGGTAACAAGTACCAAACATAATGTATAATAGGTATAATATCCATAATGAATTGCAACAATATATTATGAATAGTAATAAAGCCAAAACAAAGGTTCCAACTGTAAATATAACATCACCAAATTTTTTCCAATCATAGTTCAAGTGACCAACTGCATATGCACCCGCGGCACCTATTATACAATCTTCAGTTACCTATTGCTTATTTTGATTATAATTATTTTAACATAATATACAAATTTAAATGAGATAACATAGTTACGATACCACAAAGAGTGTGTATAGATTCAACGGCGCCATTCATTAGTTCTTTTTTATTATTGTTCACGTCTTCCCATAAAACTTGAATATACGTTGCTACCTAATAAGAAAAAAAATATTCAGTAAAAAGAATTGTAATTATAGTACAACACACTTACTATGATGTGACCAACAACAGCAATTATCCACCAAAAACATTTTTTCACTACATAAGTATTTTTATATGCCGATTGAAAGTCATCAGAAATCATCTTCTTGACTTCTTTAATTTTAGAAACTTTTGAAGTTATAGGACCATCATTCTATAAATTCATTGCGTTTTAGATTGTAACGTGTTTGATTATAGTATTTATTAGTATCTTTGCAAATTTGTCATATTATACTCATATAAATTATATTATTATACATGTATGTGTATTGTATGTTTAAAATGTAATTGGAATTTATTCCGTAATAAACAGTATTATTATTATTAATATACTCGTATATCATGCGGATGCGGTATAACGTTGGTACTTATTAGTTATTATGTCTAATTAGCTATTACTTATTGTTTTTACCTATCGGGTGCCTAGAAGAATAGGTGATTTAAGTAAAGGAAAACATTATTTATACCAAAAAATATTTGAAAGTAGGTACATACCTAGATACCTAAGTTTGAGAGTCTGCCAAACCAGCGCATTTCTCCTTWTTCCCAAAAATAATAAATAACGTTACAACATAGTATAATGTATATATTATACACATTTATATCATTTAATTATGGTATAACAAATTTTCAAACTTTATAATGATAGGCATGAAAAAATAACGAAATAAATTTAGATTGAAACAGTTATTACATAAATATGCAACTGTTGCAGCGGGTTTTAATAATATCGCAGATACTAAATATTAATTTTGCACTTTTTATAGCAATTTAAAAAATCATGCAATTTGTTTTTTCGTGTTAGACTAAGGCGATTAAGTTAGGAATCGTATAGTCAGGGGCGTATTTAAGGGAGGCGCACATGGGGCCCGTGCCTCCCCCATTTGCCGTATTTTATACTTATTTTTATTATATGAGAAATTTTACAACTCTACGCCCCATGTACGCACATTTGAACTTTTTGCTTGTGGGCCCCCCCTTAAGACATTTATAAATACGCCCCTGCGTATAGTTCATGATGACTCTTACTACATGATTTTGTAGGTACAAGAACTTTATTCTAAATGACTTACAGACACATTATCATCAATGGTAACCTCATTAGATTGATGTCGTTTATTGTTTACTGATAATTCCTTATTTCTATGAAAGTATAAACTGTGTTCTACATTAGGCAGGACTAACGACCATAATGTTACAAATGAAGTACCTACAAACCAAATAAAAATCAAGGTTATTAAAATTATATTTTGATATTTGGCCTAATGGCTAAGAAATGCAAAAATAAAGGACAATTTATTGAAAAAAAATGTAAGGTTATTGCTAATATTATTTATTMATTTTATTGGTAATACTATTCATAAAATACATCGTATTAACAACTGTATTAACCGTTTTAGTCTTAAATGTAAGTATGAGTAGGTATCCGTATCCGCATGTACAGAAGATACCAAATTTATTTAAAAAATTAAAGAATGCCAATTATGAATTTATTATATGCCGCCGTCGTGTCGTAGGTTTAATGTTATTGACTATTGAGTAAAGGGTAGTAAAAAAAACCCATGATACGATTAATAGTTAGGAATAGGCGTATTAAAAAGGTTCCTATTAATTACCTTATTTAAATACTTCCAAAGAAATCAGTATAAATTTAACTGTTATATTTAATTGTTATAAAAATGATTTTGAAAACAATAATGAAATAAAAATTATGTGTACTAAAAAAAACTGATAAAACCATTCTGAGTCGAGCTCAGTTCACTTAAAAATTGTTTGTTATTATTCGAAGCAAAGTAAGTGTTAATAGTTTATAGGTAGCTTAATGATAACAATATTTATGCATTAGGCACACTTTAAGCCTATATCATTAGTAGGTACCTATCTATTTTTAATGAAAGTTTAAATCAAATAAAAGTGTAAAAACATTTTAAATCTTTAGGCGTCATTAAATCATCTCTAAACACGAAATCGTATTGACTTTATTTTTAAAAAGTTCGTTTTGTTATTATTTACATAAAAAAACGCAAATTAAATATAAAAATCAGATTATTTGTTAAGCAAAAATTGTTAAAGATAGAGTTACAGTCCATAAATGCTTGTGGTGATTTACATAATAATATTCATTTAATTTGTTAAGGCAAACAATTTATCGTTATTTTTATATTTTGTAGTTCAAAATTTCAAAATAATGTGCAATTTCTTCCATATTATATTTTATTTGTCAAAAAATAGAATGTTTATGTTATTTTTTACCTGTATTATACAAAAGTATATATTAGGGTAATCGAAAAATTACAAGGCATAGATTCACAAATTTTCAACAAAAAAAAATTCAATTTTTAATGTGAACTTCTATGAACTGAGTGGCTTAATTGATGGATAATTTTAAAAATTAACACAATATTAAATCAAAGGTGCAGTACTTTGTACTATTGTAATAATGTTATAACGTACTAATTCTATTATTCTATCTTATAGACCTAGTGATTTTCAGTGATAATTTCGTTTAGCTGTTTTGGTCTGAATAATTTTTTTACAACCAATTAGTTGTTATTTGTTTCAGTTCCGGTATAAGATAGTAGATAGTATAGATACCACGCATCCTATCGTCGTAGGTAAATAACATTATAAAATTATAATCATATTACATATTAATTTATATTTGATTGTTATTATTATTATTATTATTATTTATAAATTCGTGGCTGACTAGGTAATATAATCACATATATGCTACATGCATACATTTTTTAAACATAATATAATAYAGGGTAAAAGGCAATTTTTTATAAAATATCAATTTTTAAAATAATATTCCAATATTAATTTTATTTCTATTATATTTTATATATAAAATATGCTGGGGATTTTTTTCCGCAATTCAGCGTAGGTACCTACTATTTACATATTTATGTACTTTTATTCCTATGAAAGTATATTAAGTACATAGGTAATTAACAACAGCTAACGAGTAAATTTTTTCAAAGAACGTGGGTACCTGGTTTTAAAGAAGCTAAATAATCAGGAATATTCTTATTAACTTTCATCCTCAATAGTTTTTTTTTTTTTTTTAAGGAAAATTGGCTTCATATGCTGATTTGGTGTGGAAGTCTTGCACAATAAGTTATGAGAACGTTATTACAAACTCTATAGACGAATGGCGAACAAATACGAATCTGCTCATTCCCCTCGATTTCGTTTTTAATTTTTTAATTTTACCGCCCTCTGGAGCAATAGTGGACCATGCATCATTCGTAAATAGTTCTGACCTCTGGACTGATTTCTGCCACGTAAAAGTCACCTTATATATATATATATATGGTGTTAAGTATACCTTAATAAATCACAGAGAAATAGAATAAGAAAACTATAGTTTTCTAGGTACTAAATTTAGTTCATATACCTACATAGTTTAATTACCCCACGTAAATTGTTTTTCTATTGCATTTTAAGAATACGTGATCTGTACTCGAATTATCGACTATAACTCCACCAACATATTATTATATGTTTATCAAACTATACCTATGAATATGGCCAACAAGAAAATAATATAAATTCATATTTATTATTTTAGTGTTAATTAAAATATATTTTATATWTTGTATAGATTGCTACTCTAAAAATAATTGCCAAGCTATAATGAACTTATCGAAAGTTTAGTAATAAAAAAATGTCAGTTTTTTTTTTATCTTATTGACCATCCAATTTAAGTAAACAGTTCTAATAACGTAAGATAGTATTAATACAGGTATTTATTTTATGAGACATACTAAATATACTGATGTATAGTAGATAAACTTCGCTCAATAAGTGTGTTGAAACAACAGCTTGCGCAATTAATCCAGATAGGAATCTGCCGAATAACATAGATGCTTTCACCAGACTGGTGATTTTTTGATAATATTGTCTGTCGTCGACCTTGGCATACAAATACGTAGTGAACGCAACTTCTGATGAATAAAAAAATCCAAAGAACATTTGTTCCATCTGCGATGGTATTTTAATTGAAAAATTATTATTCATTGTTCTTAGTATTGGTTAGCACCTATAGAGGTATATTATGTTATAAGCTCTATACACGAGACGTTTAGACGCTTACTTGAACTCTGAATAAACTCGGTGTTCCTAGTAGTAATGCATATGTAAAAATTCCAGCAATCCCGTCAGCAATTATCAACGGTTTGTAACGGAAATAATCTGTAACCAAGAATATTACAACAGCTAATACTAGACACGAGTAAGTCCCCACTGCGTATATTTCTTCGTTAATCTGTATCAAAATTACGATAAAATGCGGATTAATATTTTTAAGTAAATATCTAATGAGAATATTATATCATAATGATATTAAGTTTAGATTTCAAGTGGCGGTAGGGTTACGCGTAATCTTCGTCAGGAACAATTAAATTCAGGGTAATATTTGTGAGGAATTTATGCGAAGATTGATGGGACAATTAATATTATCTGGAAAATACTTATCTATAAAATCAATTTCGAGAGAGTTTATTTTCGGAAAATATATTTTGAAGCGAATTTTTTCTCAGGAATTGTAAATTTTTGAAAGTACTAATAAGGATGATATAGAGTAATATCTGGAAAAATAATACACACGAATTCAAAACCAGGAAAATCATTACGCTGGAAAAATTATACAGGAAAATATTATCACTATAAATTACATTTACATGCCTAGTTATACTAAACTATAAATTTAGTAATTCCTAATGATTGCTTTTATAATAGTTAATTTTTTATATTCCAACAATCGATATCTAAAAATATACTAAATATAAGCAGGTTACCTTATACCTGTAATTAATTTGCATTTTAGTCGAATTAGTTATATTTTTACTTGTAAAAGTTTAAAATATGGTAATTAAATATTTATTAGACTTATAATCTCGAAATGTTTACAACAAGACTTTCAAGATAAAAATAAGATTAAAATTTAAAGTAAATACCTGGTCTGATGTGAAATTCATACTTTTGAGGTATGACGTAAAAAATGGCTCAATTGGGCGTATTTCTCTAACCATAGCAAATACACAAACAAACAAAGACACAGTTTTCCAATTTTCCATGATTTAAAAATTGTTAAAAAATATATTAAATAAAACCGTTGAAGGGTATATGCATTAAAAAAAACAATATAAAGACCATCTATTTAATGTTGGAATCAATTATAGAATGTTGAATTTGGTAACTGTTTTAACAAATTGATCATTTGAACTTATTTGTAATACAGTACATTTCCAACTAATGCAAACGATAATACACGACAAATATAATATGTTTATTTTATATTGTCCATACGCGCGCGCACACGCGACACGCACTAACACACAAATCATAATATGAACGTGAATCGCCTTGAGAAACTTAAGACATACTTTGTTGTATACGTAATAGTTCGATTAGCACATAATAAATAATATTTATGTATACATATAGTAAATACACACAAATATAATAATAATATCGTTTATAGATGTAAAAACGTAATTATTTATTTTAAATATTAATAGGTATTTTAACATATTATTATTATAATTTTCAGGAAAACTGATTAACTCGTTTAAGTTAAAAACAGTCGTTAATTAAATAATTATCACTCAAAACAAAAAGATTTTCGAGAGTTTCTTTATAATCCATAACATCAATCTCACAGTTAAACATGTGACTCAATTTTGAACCCTTTACTTTGCTAGAATCATTCTTCAAAGCTATAAACATATCTCTCATCGAATTACTGTTATGTAAACCACTTATAGCTGTACTTTTCGCGACCACTAATTTGAAAATTAATAAAATACAAAATATTAATTTTGACAATGTTTTTTTTGGTTTCATCATAAAAAAATTCTATAGTTACCAGAAGTAGATGATCTAGATGATAATTCAACAAATCCATGCTGGTTAATAGATTGAGAAAATATATTAGGGAACGGTGCTATAGTCTCTAATGATGAGTCAAATGAATGAACTTCTGTCATTCGCACGTGATCACAAAAAGATATAAATAATTTAAGCAAATCACTGGGTGATGTACAATGATGAGATGGATTTTTTGAATCTCTAATGAGATTACTGAAATTAAAATATATATATATATAGATAGATATAATAATAGCAATTATTTAATAACCATATTAATACACAGTTTAATATAACAGAACTTGATAATCATTAAATACTAACTTTGAGTATAGCATGTTTTCAGTTATGCCTCTTAAAACAATTGTTTGGGCCACAGACATTTCTGTAGTACACTGAGGTGAAATGGGTTTCCATAATGGTAATTTTGCATTTTGTAAGTAATCGAGTAAATTTGACTTTGATTCAAATCCAAGAGGGAGTTGTATTGAAGCCGACACAGCCTTTCGCCCCAAAGGGGTCAACCTAGTACACATATTTTGCATACTATCGTTATCTAAACGACTTCTATAACCTAATGTAAATGTGTCTATAGCTGATGCTAAAATAGCACTGGAATGATAATCTAAATTGTTCTAAAATTTAAATTGTAAATAAATCAAACAAATAAAAGAAAAATTATTAAATGTGTGTATAAATTTATTTTTGTTATGTTATACTTTGTAAGATAAGTAATCCAATTGAAGGTGATTTTTGCTCTTTATCCATCCACCAGATGATGTAGTTAATGGTACAAACATATTTGAATGTTCGAATAGTGAAGAAAATAATAATGAGGTGTTAACTGCTTGTAACTCAGAATTTTCATCTTCAAGAATATAATTATCTGACATTACAGGCATAGCAATAATATTTTTATTAGAATACTCATCTTTTAAGTATTCTAGTGCCTTACAAGCTAAACCACCAAAACCATTCAACGAATCCATTGAAATATGGAATCCCTAATTCATAAATATATAAATAAACTTATAATATTATTTTAAAAAAATAGATGAAAAAACAATTTTTGCAATTAAAACAAATAATTAGAAATCATTATTAGCTACTATTATGACAATAATTGCTGCATAATATGGCTAGTGTCTATATAATAAATAAAAGCTACAGTGTATTACTTTTAAAAATTAATTGTAAGGCATTGTCCATAATCTAATGTAGGTACCTGTAAATAATCACATTCTTCTGCATACAATCTTAAATTATCAGTCCAAGTTTCTTTCATTTTATATGAATTCCATAATTCAAGTCCTTGAGCATAGTTATTAAACACATTATTTGAATCATTGTGTTTATACTCATCAATAGATGTGATAGTTCTTGGATGGAAACGAGCTTTCAAAAAATCAGACCAAATTTTAACATCATTATCTAAATTATATACTTTTTCGGCTATATTTATTTTCTCACTACCATCATCTGAAATATTGTATACAAAATATTTGTTATTTTATTTTTCACATGAATTAAGGTATTAAAATTTCATTCAATTTAAGAACAACAATAGAAACCACCTGATATATAAATATCAATTATACTAAAAATTAAAAATAACTATCATAAACTTACTTATAAATAGTTCTTGTTTCACTAAGTCAGAAAAAAATTCATTACTAGGAATTTTTTCTTCTTCAATAGTTTCAATTTTAGTTGAAAGATTTAATATTTCTTCATCTATATTGCTACAATTTAGATCATATAAGCCTTTATGCACATCTGGCAATTGGTAAAAACTGTTCTTAAGATCAACACACAGCATACGAGGAGTATAGGTTACCTCACCCTATTTTATAATTTCAACAAACAATTATTATATTAAATTTAAGAACTTTTTATAACAACATTTTTTCTCAAATCTCTATTATTTAATAGATATTAATTTGATTTAAGAATAATTTAATAAAATATGTTAGTAACTAAGTACAATTTTGTGTTATTCATTAGGTATTTTACAACTTCAACTTTTGTTTAATATGTACAGTAGAACCTTGATTATCCGAACTTCCGTTATACAAACCCTCTATTATCCGAACTATAATTAGCGTATCCGAACGTTCTGTTATCCGAACATGAAAAGTAAGAGTACGCCAAAAGGACCAACATCTGCTGAAGCATTTGCTGCATTTGAAACTGGTCTTCAGTGGTTTGAAAAACAGGCCGAATGTTGTCCAACACAATTACTTCTCCTTAAACGTTTGTGAGACTTGGCTGCAGTAAATACGTTGCAGCTCATCGTCAAATTAAAATTGATTATTACATAAAAATGTGTGTATGTAATTCTAATAAAATATTAATAACAAATAATAAATATTTAATTATAAAAACAATAAATAATTAATACATATGTAATTTTCTAAAATTTTTTTTTAAATTTCCAATATCCGAACTTTTGCGTATCCRAACTAGGTACGGTCCCAATCAGTTCGGATAATCGAGGTTCTACTGTAATATTATATTATAATAGACTACACATTACTTAAGTAATCTACCTAATTGAAAAAATAAATAAACATATTTTTTTGATAAACAAATCTTAGTCCTAAAGACTAATTCATAATATTTTATAATCACATAAAGTTGCTTTTGTGTATTTGAGATATAAATAGGTTAAGCGAGTATAAATGCAATAACTATTATATTTTAATATTTACAAGCATACATTTTTATTTTATTTTTTTAATGTTGTTAAACATAATCATTATGAAAAATAAATTTTGGTTAGGTATCCCAGATTCTAGTAAATAATTAATTAATTATATTAAATTGGAACAGTATGAAATCGCTTAATTTTTCAGTTACAATTTTTTAAAACTAAATATCAATACCCTTTCATCAATTGATAAGTAATAATTTAATTAAAGAATATAATATATCATTTCATTTATCATAGGCATAAAGTAGTAGGAACATATTTAAATTTTTAAGATTATTTGATTAAATTAAATTAATTATTTAGTTGGCTTTTTCTTAATATCTACTTTATTATTTTAATTTTTAACTTATATAAATACAATATATATACATATGTGTATAGTAGAGTTGATTTCCTAATTTAAAGTCATGTAGGTAGCTATAAAAATAAAATAAATAATAATAAAAGTCATATCATTAAAAATATTATCAACCAATTGATTAATCCATTTTAGTTAGTTAAAAACTATAACATTAGTTTAAAACTAAATCATAAATTAATACAAATATTGCTTTTCTGGGAACACGATAAAAAGATGATATTTAATTGAGGATTATTGATTTTTTTTTTATTTAGAACTCAGAATTTTTCCAAGTATAGCTGGCAATATAAAATTACAAATTTACAGTATACATCTGTAACTGATAATAATACAACTTAATATGTTAAAAGTTTAGAACTGTAGATTTAATGTATTTTATTAATTACTAAGAAAACATTTTTATCATAATTATTTATTAATTATTACTCTAAAAAAATACAGTGCTGACTTCAAAGAAATTACGCTGAAGTCCAATAAATATATTACAGTTGTATATACTAATTATAATATTTAATTTTTTTAGTATTTTTTAGTTATTACTTGTTACTATATTAAGTACCTAAATTTTTTATACTTCTAACTTTGAATGAAATTATTTGGATTTTATTATTTTTCTTAAGAATATAGTATTAACTGTCAATAAATTCTAAGAGTAAAAAATATTAAGATAAATTGTTTAATTTTTACCAACCTTTAAATTCACACCTTCCCTATATAAAACATCATGACATATTTCCAGTGACTTATTGTTTTCTTCATAAGTAAAACTTGCCTCCTATAAAATATTATTATTTTAATATTTAATAATTTAATTTAACCATTAATAGTATGCAAATGTAGAGAAAAGAAACCTGTAAATTCCAGAAGTGCGTGCCAATAAAATTAGAATAATGACCGAACTGCAATGTTATAATTTCACGAGTTGAATTCATTTTAAAAAAAATTAATAAATTGCTTAATATTGAACAAATATTCAATTTGATATATTATTTGTAGACGGCTAGTTTGTAATTTGTTTTGTTACAATATCAACATGAGACTATTGTACAAGTATAGCTTGAGATTTAAAATTTCAAAAAATATGATTTGTATCTTGTTCATTTAGCATCATTAGAAATAATATAATATACTGTATTACTCATAACTGTATGTAGTGTAAGTGTAGATATTATTTTATGATCATAGTTGTGGGCTTGTGGCCGTTGTGACTTGTGTCTTGTCGCTTGTGGGTACTGGGCGCTCTGCACAGTGCAGTGCACATGGCACTTATCAAAAATAATCAGTACTTACTCTATGATATCACCACGGACTCGGTGTTTACATCATAAGTTGCGCTATCTATTAGTATAAATATATAATATAGCCTAAGCAGCTATGTCATATTGTCATTTTCGCCATAATCTACAATTCATAGACCCATGAATTGTACAATTGAAAATTGAACTGTATACAGTTCAGTCGTTCAGTGTATTATACTGTATTTAGTTTTTTCATTTTTACAAGCATTATAAAATCTGTATCATTTGATACAATAAGAAATAAAAATATAGGCTAAAAGTAACAAATATGAAATAATACCTACCTATAACATTACTATTTAGCCGTGCTATTTATTAAGTTCCAATACTTAATCAATACTATTTCTTATTGGAATCAATGCGTAATAGGTTACAACTTATCTGCTAATATCGTGTGTGACAGACATTTGCATGCATTAACAATCCCGGGTTTCGAATTTCAGTAGTTTCATTTGTTTAAAAACGTTTAATAACACAGTCTTCATGGGCGTCTCCAAAAATTTTTCTAGGAAGGAGAAAAATTAATTTACAAAATAAATGAAGATTTTTTTTATACATTTTAAAAATAATCTATTTTTACCAAATTGGCGCGTTAAAGATAATGCTTTGGAAAACAAATTTAAATATCTAGGGGGGGGGAAGTGTCCTATCTTGCTCCCTTCTGGGGAGGTCCATGTGTGATGTGTGTCTTGAAACTATTATAACTATATATCGTCCGCGAATCACTGGCGAAGGTATTCTTTTCTAATGTATAGGTTAGCGGGTAGGTGAATGAGTTTAAAAAACTATAAACCATGTACAAAAAATAGGCGTTTCAAAGAATTTGTTAACATTTTATAAAAAATAAAAACTTTATTGGTAGATCAAAAATAATCTTGGGCGAAACACTGCAAGTTTCCAAAGATTAGTTTATACGGGTTTTTTTTACGTACAGTTAGGTATACCTATGTTTATGAAGTTATCATACTATGTATATAGACATGCAGTCTTTATAACTTATGTTATATGCCYACCATTATATAGCAGAGACTATATTATATAAAGACGCTTGTTTTACAGAACATAATAACGCCTGTATGTAGGCGTTTTATCTTAGATATTTTGCTTATGCGCGACAAGACTATAGTAACGGTTCTGTCGGCAACTTAGTCTTGAACCCGACTCATTCGAATTAAGTACTGTGCTTGTAGTATAAATTACATTTTTTAAAACTAATAGGTAAAGTATAATATTCTCATTCAACTCTAAAACTTGTATTCTCTTTTTATTAATAAACTATTAAACAACATTTGATGATCACCCGCATACACAGAGAACGGTTTCAACAAATTGTCGTCTTCGGATGCAACCAGAGATTTAATATAAAATATCATAGAACATCAAAGGTAGGTATACACGGTGACGTTCATAACACTTATTGCCTGTATGACTACATAAATGACTTATAGGTTCAATTTTATAGGTAAAATAACTAAATACAATATAATATATAATAAAGCAACTTTATTTTGTAAGAATTTGTACTCGATATAGCTTATTTTAAAATTGTATAGTAAAATAATTGAATTACAAAATTCAATTTTCTTTTGATCTATATTTCCTTTACAGTAGTGTTCGCGTTTTACTATCAACATATATGAATGGTCCAGGAAGGCTGACTTAAGGTGGGATCGGTGAATAGATATATATTTTCATTTAATATAAGATATAACTAATGAATATATTATATCTCGTGTATAAATATGTGTGTATTATTATGTATTATTAATTGTTGAACTAGATTTAAAATAAAAAGCTAAAAAAAAATTTTGAATTATTATTCATATAATAAATGTATACCTACTAAAGCACTATACTTGACATAATTTGGTTTTTATATTATATAACATAATTAGTTCACCTTTTTGGGATTCGCTCCCTGAAAAATATTAAATTCTAACATAATAATTATTATTTAGTACTATTATGGATACCTAAATAAAATTCCCTAAACACAATCTTTATATCTATAACTATTTAATAAAAATGACTTGCTATTTGTTGATAATCGTATCCACTATACGATGGCTGGTGTAAATAACTGCCGGCTGGACATATTGCGATATTTTTTTTCTTATGCTTATTATAGTCCAAATAATGTTTAAACGGAATTTCAAATTTTTTGTTCATAGAGATATCAGGAAAGTCTATAGAGAGTAGTTAACAATAAACTTTAACAAGTCCTATATCCAATCCGTTACGGACGAATAACTAAGATATTACACCTATAATTAACACCATCTATTCACGATATACATCTGTTAAAAAAAAATAAAGATGAAAACCAACGTTTAAAATAAATTTGCATTATAATTTTGACACTAAACCGATGGATATGGAATATTTAATAATCTCCAATTACACATAATATGAATATTATAATTACACGCGATATTATCCAATTATTATTTACGCGATGAATAATAATTGATGAAGATAAATTGACGAGTAATTATCTTGTTCTCTGCCTCAGCTGATGCTTGAATATTTGTATATCGCCAACTGTTAAGTACATGTTAAGACGTTGAGCTCTAATCATCACTTTTTAAGTAAGAAAATATTCTCGTAACGATTTCCAGGAATAATTTCAAATTTATAATAAATAATTATAATTTATTATGAATTATGATCATCTCGCGTTCTGTTTTTGGAGTTAGGTGATCGATTACTCAAAAAGAAATCGCAGGCCTCTTCTAAACTTATTAATTTTAATTAAAATTACTCGAAGTACAAGTTTAAATATTCAAAATTCTTAAATATATTATATTATCTAGTTGAACGAATATAATATAAACTATCAAAATATCTAGTTTTCTGTAAATATTAATTTAAATCCAAATGTTATGTTTTAAAAACACTAAATAGGTATATAACTAATCTGATGATTAATATGTAAATGATTTTTTAATAAATCATTCTTGTTATTTTCTAGAATTTGCGAATTTCCAAACAGCCACGATAAATAACAATGCAGACATTGAAGCAAACATCATAGAAACTGATAATATCTATATAAAGAAAAGTAAAACCTTTTATTTTTTGATTCATTAATTAAGTTAGACTACCTAAGTGTATAATCCTAGGTTTTTGTTTACTGCAGACTGTACACCCTGTACTGTGCAGGTACTCGTTTAGACATAAATACAGTGTTTCTGGTTAGAGTTTGTTGCATTGTATTTCGTTTGTAATACATTTAAAATTAAATTACATAGATACCGGGAGTAGGTACGCGTTAAAAACCCCAAATTTGCTAAAAGTAAGGTAAGTGTTTTAGATTCCACTCTATTGATATACAGAGTGTAACAGGTCTATTTGACTAATGCTACAACTTTTTTTCTATTTAATATTTTTAAGTTTTTTTTTAATGATTTGATTTCTAGAGCTCTGCGCTATAATTTTTATTTATGATATTTTATTTTTATTTTTTTACAACTAAAATTAAATTGTATAGATTTTGTATTACATTTTTTTCTTATAATCCAAGATAGCTATTTTATAAATAAGTATTTAAAAACAGTTTTGGCGCTTAACACTTTTAATTTGGTAACGTCATTGATTTTTAAACAATTTTCAAAGTTTGTTAAAATCTAATTTATTTCTTGCTAATCAGTGTTTTATTATCATTGAAAGGTAGGTAATCAATAATCTATACATATATTTTATCATTATTWAACATAACACAGACCATAGTTTATATTATATACTGTACAATGTATAAAATAACTTACCTGATTTTTTGCCTCTATYATAACAATAAAGCCTTGGATAAATAATAATGTGTATATTGAGATAATCAACAATGACATAAACAAATTAAAACCAAATATTAGTCCATAACTGTCAGGTTTTATGTATTTTGCAACTTCAGRGCTAAAATATTAATCATATAAATGTATTAAACAGATCAATAGATAATCTTCACAGAGGGTTAGATTTATTAGGTGAAAGGTGATTTTTTTTAAAGATATTATTGGGGATTATCAGGTATACGTATATGTTAGTTGGTTAGGTTAGGTTAGGTTAGGTTAGCCACCATTATATCATATAATTTGACAGCCTAGATAAGGACGTGGTGAATTATATCCTTAATTATAATTTATAACATAATATGGGTAATTTTACAATCAAATAATCTTATAGCAATTATCAAGTATAAGTCAATGCATTAAACATTTAAAAAAAAAAGGCTCTGGGGGATCTATCCCTATTACCATCCCCCATAACTACGACACTGTCGCTCTTCCGACCACCCCTACAAAATGTCTACCTTACTTTTTTTGTTCTGCGTTTAGAGTTTATTTTAAGACACCCCATGCTAAAAGAGTTGTTYGCTTAAAACACTTCTTCAGTCAAATGTTTTAAATAATATTTAGGCTTACAATGACTTAAAAATTATTTAAAAGCAATTGAGCAGTTTTGGTACTTTAATTCCTATTAATTTAACCCTTGATGATTGGTAGGTACTATTAAAAAATATTTTAAAGGTGTTGGTACTATTGTAAGGAAGTATTTAAAGTAAATAATATCTTTAAACGGAAATAATGTAAAGTAGGTAGGTAAGTTAAAATTAAAAAAAAAAAATTAAATAGGTGGTCAAAACGTTGAATTAATATTATGCATTTACACATTCCTGAAAAATAACCAAAAAAATAAAAAATACATACGTAGTGACAGTTAACAATACTTGGAAACAAGTACCATATATTATGTATACCAGGTATAATATCCATAACGTATCGCAATAATATATAATGAATAATAGTAAGGCCACAAAAAATGTTCCAATAGTAAATATAATATCATCAAATTTTTTCCAATCGTAGTGCAAGTGACCAACGATGTATGCGCCTGCTGCACCTATATTAAAGAATTTAGTTATTACATATTTTAACTACTTAGTAACTTTATCTAAAAGTGAATAAAGTTATCTGTTATGATACCGCAAAGAGTATGTATAGATTCGACAGCACCATTCATCAGATCCCTTTTATTATTGTTGGCATTCTCCCATACCACTTGAATAAACAATCCAACCTTAAATAATAGGTATAAATAGGGTAAATAATAAGCAAATTGGAATGATAATACATTTAGTACTTAGGTACTAAAAAATGACCAACAAATGATAATATCCACCAACAACTTTTTTTGACTACATAACTATTTTGATATGCAGATTTAAAATCATTGAAAATCATCTGTTCCACTTTTTTAATTTTAACTGATTTTGAAGTTTCAGGAACATCATTCTATAAAGTATAAATTGAGTAAAATATATAAAACAAATGGCGTTTGTTGCTAAAAATATTGTATATACCTACCTAATAATATAAAATATACTGAAGTTATCACTATATTATTACTTCTACACTCTATGTAAAGAAACTGTAATAAACCTACAAATATACGATAATCCTAAATAAATCTTAAATTTRGGAATATTTATAAYCTTCTGTTATATATCTGCAATAATAATCATCAACAAATTGTTTTATTCGCCATCATTTATAAATACATTTGAATTAAAAATAAATATAAAATTCTGCTTAATATGCTGAAATTAGTGAAGATAAACTGATAAATAACGTCAGTCATACAAGATTCTACAATTCTAATAAGCAATTATTATTATACTAAAATTCAAAAACAGAATTGATTTTATAAATATTTTAGATTTTGAAATTCAAATTTTGACGAAAATAAATATTTAGACGAAAAATAAATATTTTGGTTATTTTGTTGTATTAAAAAATAATATTTTTGGGGGCTTCAAATTTTTACCGGAGTAACTATATTACTATATTATAAACCAGYATAGGTGCAATGACATTTAAAAAATATATAGATTCATTATTTTGTGCTATAATTTCCTATTTATATTTTATACCACATTCTCACAGACATTAATTTACACTGTATTACGGTAAGTAGGTTTTGACTCATTGTTTTGACTGTTAATATCTAACAATGTGTTTTAATAAGTAGGGTCCGGATTTAAATCATCTATAAACTATCGATAAATGCTCTAAAAATAGCCAAAAATGCTTATATAAATGCATTATTTGCAATAACGTCTTAACAAATTAATATACAAAATTATTTTTTAGTGCAACAGTTTAGTAACAATAGTTACTTATAATTTAAAATAATTTGCCTAAAAATTTATGAAAAAAAATAAACTGAAATTCGGAAAATTGTTTGAAAATGTATATTAAATTAATTTTATCAATAAATTTATACGGTTACTGTAGACAAGCATATCTTTTAGAGCTCTAYGGTGCAATCTAATTCTATATATACCAATATCGGTAAACAATTATTAWGAATTAAAATAAAATTATCGAATTCCGGTTTGAATCCCGGTCATGGGCGGCATCGCTTTCCGGGCAATTAAATAATTCATGCTGAGTGGAAAGAGAGGCCGCCACCTCCACCTGGGCATGGCAGAAACTTATAGGTATACGGGTGCCCATTCGAAATTCTGTCAAAACATCCACGAGTACCAAAACCAACAGTTCCCTCCTCGACAGTTCCACAAGCTAATGGCCCTTGTTGTCGAAACCTCAACCCCAATAAAAAAAAATTATCGAAATTACCAAAAAATGCTAAAAATGCAAAATAAAAGTTTTACTGTTGAGGTATTTGTTTCATGAAACAAACTAGGTAATTGGAAAGCATTGTCTAAGATCACACCATAAAAATATTATGTTATTTGCACATAGAAATTCGGTTTCTATACTGATGAGTAATAATAAAATAAATATATATAACTATATAATATGTATAGGTAAACAATTTATAATAAAATATGCTGATTAATATGGTCTATTAAGGCCAGTTTCAGTGTCTTAGCCAGGAGGGGTTTTGGATGTTTCTTCCACTAATAATTATATTGCTTACATTTTATTTATATACGAATACTRTAGACAATTTAGTTGAATTAATACTTAGGCCTCCTCTCCCTTTTATAGTCCTAGTTACGCCTTTGGCCCAGTGGAGTATATAGATATTTTTTTTTTTGGAGGGGTTATGTAAAAAAATGGAATTCTTATATAGGCATATTTTTTTTAAATTGTATTAATTTTTATACATCTATGTATACGTACATTTGGTAAAAAAATATCAATGGTGGTTTTGAACACTGTGTACACCACTACTATAATCTAGCAGTCGGTAGACCATCTCGGCTTCGAATCGTTTTTTGTTATGGTATACAATGCTGTACCTATCTATCATTGAATTCAAATAACACAACCATGACAGTTATTATTACTTAGTCATCCATTACTGCCTTATACAGTTATACCATTTCTATTATGATCCTAATATTCAACCGAAAAATACATCAATGTAAAACTATGAATTTTCTGATCAGAACTATGCATTTTTCTATTATTTTATCCATTGAAAATGATTTAAAATTTCCCTTGTATTATATGTTTATTTAATCTCAAAATATTAAGTCCTATACTAACGCTTAAGGGATATTTTGTTTTGAGGGAATTACGCTGATTATAATTTTACAGCTTACAGGTATAAGATAATACTGATGCACTATATACTCTATCCTAAAAAGTTAGGAAAAAATCTCGACGAAAAGGCATCGCCTTCTTGTATAGCGTGCTGTCGTGTTGGCTGTTGGCTGCCATCGATGCGCTGTCTACTTCTGGCCAATCACAATGGTCTTACCATTTAGAGGCTGCGCAGTTTTTCCAAACTCATTTAGAATAGAGTTTATAAAAGTGTGGTTGTGAACTTGTAAAGGACGTTTTGTACAATACATATGTGTGAAAACATTTTAGTGGGGGAGGTATACATATATGATTCCCTGTGTCCTGTCCAGGCTGCGCCATTGTAATAATATAATAATTAACATACTATTGCACTTATACAACCTCATAATTMGATCGATGCAACTTAATGTTATCTGTAAATTCATTTTTTGAATGGAAGTATAGACTGTGTTTCACTTTAGGTAGAAAAAACGCCCAAATTGTTACAAATAAAGTACCTACAAATAAAATAATAATCAGTTATAAAAACTATATTATATTAATATTGTTGGAGTATTTTATTATTAATTTCAGTTTTATAAGTGTAGGTACGTGAACTTATTAACCTACTCATCTATTTAAAYAGTATATAGTGTAAACGTGCATAGTATTTACCTACTAAGTATTTAAAGTCATTAGTTTTTTTCCTGTTTTATTCAAGTATTTAATAGGCACAAAAATGTATTAAGTAGGTAGGTATATTAATGGACAGGACAGTGAATGTCGAGTGAGCACTATTGCCACAAATTTAATCAACAACATAAAAATAAATATGCAAATAATGAGATAATTTTAATCAAAGTTCAAGTATAATATACGTTCAATTAAAATGTTATGATAACAATTAAGTACCTATAATACTGTGTGTTGTACGATTGTGTACCTATAATAAGTTACCTATATCAAATGTATTAATTATAAACAGAGTTTGATTTGCATAGCACTATAAAAGCACTTAAAATGAAGCAAAAAAGCAATACAAATCTAAATTAGAACA